GGCTACGAGAGATTTGAGGCAAAAAGGAGGTTTCATGCAAATAGAGTTTATAATTTGAATGTTGGGGTTTTTTTAAGCAAAGTTGGGTAAAATTTGTGAGTTGGGAGAAGCTACGTACATACGTTTTAATGGTACTAATAATTACAATCTATTTTAATTTAATTTAGGAAAAATACACTTTAATAATCCTAACTTTGCCAATTTATGTTAAATAATCCCAACTTTTGATTATTTTACAATAATCCCAACTTTCACCTGCGTTTTCTTTCTTCATTCCTGATTACTTATAACCTAAAGAATAGGTTAATTTTTTTTTTGAGAAAACAAATTATCTTCTAAGTGTTGCATTTTAATTGGCTATAAAAAATGTTTTGAATAAAAATTAAATTAATTTTTTTTAAACAGAAATTAATTAATACATAACAAAAAAATGAAAAAAAAATTAACAGATATTAATAAAATTAAAATACATTAAAAAAAATAAAAACCCACTAGCCACCACGCTGGTGGCCACCCTTTACCTCAGCTGGCCATCCTCACACTCGAACCACCCACAAGCCATACTTCACTGGAAACAACCACATCCCTCTCCCCACCCTAGAAACCGCCCCTTTTCCCTCCCCCACCCCCGAAACAACCCATAATCAAATCGTCGTTCCCAAAACCACTGTTTACCAAAACCCTTAATGTTGTTTCGGGGGTTTTGGTTAACGGTGCGTGATTTCGGGGGTTTTGGCTAACAGTGGTTTTGGGGGTTGTGGTTTTTGTTAATGGTGGTTCCGGGGGAATTGCTTTTGGTTAACGGTAGTTTTTTAGGGTGGTGGTTTTGAAGACGGTTGTTTGATTATAGATTTATAGGTTGTTTTGGCGGTAAGGGGAGGCAAGAGGGTGGTTTCGGCGGTGGGGAGAGGGAAGGGGTTGTTTCCGGTAGTGCGGCAGGGGAGAGGGTGGTTTTGTGGGTGGGGCCGGTAAGGGGAAGGCTGCCGGCGGTTGGGGCTGACGTGGTTGGTTTAATTTCTTTTTTTAAAATTTTTTAAAGTAGTAAATCATGCAACATGTGGCAATTTTTTTTTCTTTTTCTTCACTATTGATTATTTATTTTAATTTTTTTTTGGACTAATCACATAAAGACACGTGTCAGGCAACCTAGAACATCAGGTTATTGACTGGTTTGGGATTGAAGAAAGAAAACGAAGGCAAAAGTTGGGATTATTATAGAATAATTGAAAGTTGGGATTATTTAAAGTAAATTGAGCAAAGTTGGGATTAAAGTGTTTTTTTTTTTTTAATTTTTTTTTTATTAAAAGCTACCAATATTTCTTATGTACAAAATAAATAATAGCTTTTCATATATCTCTTATAAGTCTGTTACGTAATATATTTATATAATGAAATTTGTTTTAAAAGGTAATTTAAACTGAGATTCATTTAAGATTATTTTAATCAACTAATAATATAAAGTTCACAACTATTGTTATGTTGTACTTCATATTTTTTTTAAAGACGTTGCGGATATTATTTAATTTAATAAAGATCCACCAAATTTTGAAGTTTTTTGAGGAAAATTAGTTGTACATAAATATTTCAAATCCATATCACTCTCCCACTTAGCTAACATATGGGCAGTCATTTTATGCGCCAGTCAAACATGAGTCCAATTGAAGACATTAAAGACAACATATCCTATAAATATCTTCCAATAACATAAAAATAGGTGCAACTCCAAACTGATTTCTTTTTATAGATCTGGTCATGCTACTTGCGCCACTTTCAAGAGCTACTAGATAGACCAAACTCTTTCCCAAAATCGCCTACAGTGTTATGAGCGGTAGTACTATTTTTTTTTTACAAGTATGATAGTGATTAATTATTCCATGAGTAAAAAATTTGAATAGCATAGATATTTTTCTCATGCAGAGTGTATATTTCTATAATATATATTTCTCTATTACATAAATCAATGGTATCGTACATCAAAATATCCTAAATCAAAAAGGATATACACCTTTTGAAAGGAATGGTATCCTTCGAACAAGTGTATTACTCCAATAGAGGGTTCAGAATTAATTAGGAAAGCTAATTATTCAGTGAAAACAAGTGATCGGAATGTCTAACTAGAGGGCGCTTTCGATCAGTAAGATTAATATATAATTAATCTTACAGCTTGTTCTTGACCGAACCCTGCGGATCACACCCAATCGTGTAATTGAATTAGGGCGACGAATTAATCCGAATGATTAAATACGTCAATAAGGATTTTACGAAATCAGACGCCGGATTCCGAGCTTAAAGCGTCAAAACCGAGCGTTGAACGTCGAGTCCATTATAGGAATCGACGAGACTATTAATAAGTCAAACGACAAGTGGCAACTCAAGGGAAAGGGTAGGTGAGGACCACAAGGGGAGGACCACTTGCTCACTTTGTTCCCCAAGCAAGAAGCCAACTCATCCTAAAGGCAAGCCAAGTTGGCCGGCCAAGCCTTGGGCTCCAAGGCACGCCCAACTGGCGGCCTTTCTCTTGGCTAGGTCTGCCAACTCACCGCAAGCCCACACAAGCTTGCTGGACGCTAATGGGCTGCTCGCTAAGCCTGCTTGCGTGCTTGCGGGCTGATGCTAGCGCTGCTAGCTTGTGTGCTCAGCCAGCTCGCCCAGCCAGCACACATACGTGGCTGCTGGGCTTGCGGCCAAGGCACACACAAGGCTAGCAGCCTTGCTAGCCTAGCCAGCCTAGCCCTTGCATGGCTACCTGCTAGCTATGGCCAATGTGAGGCTACGACTAGGTGTTAACTTGTCGTTTGACTTATTTATCGTCTCGTCGAATCTTAGAATCGACTCAATGTTCGACGCTCTAATCTCGAAATCCGACGTCCGAGTTCGTAAAATCCTTATTAATGCATTTAAACCTTCAAATTAATTCTCCGCCTTAGTTCGGTTACACGATTGGATGTGATCCGTAGGGTTCGGTCAAGAACAAGCTGTAAGATCGAAAGCGGCCTCCAGCTAGACATTCCGATCACTTGACTTAACTGAATAATTAGCTTTCCTAATTAATTTTGAACCCTCTATCGGAGTAATACACTTGTTTGAAGGCACCATTCCTTTCAATGAGTATGTGTATTGCTCTTTTCCTATGTCTCTTAATGCCTCTTCATGATCAATAAGGTAAGATTCACCGTTATCCTTATTATGTCGAGATCTGTTTCTCGAAATTCCGAGTTCGATTGTCAAGGATGATTTCAAAAATCCTTCTGAGCACGGCCATGCATTTTCACAGTCTCTCTCTTCGAGAGGCCTTGTAAACAAAAAAGACATATTTCGTATTGTTAATAGGAGGACATTATGGTAGAGGTATGAATCGGTCGTTGGACAATCACCCCAAAACCAAACACTATTTCTACCTAAACTAACCTAAGACAAGTCTAGGGCAAGTAAAGGATCGTATCCAAAGGGAATGGGTATGAGTACACCGAGATTATGAAACGGTTGTAATCTAGTTCAGTCATAAATTGGGGTTTTGATTAATTAACTACTATGAAGGCAAACACTAGGGGGAGATGGGAATCGACACCAACCAAACCAATAGATCAATACCATAGGCAAACATGAACGCAAATTGGGTGATAGAAAGAGCACTCAACATTGTCTTCTTTCGAACACAACACTAAGCATTCCTAAACCAAGCTCAACTAACATGATAGGCCAACCAAGTCTTAATGATGGGAAATAGGCCACTAACTCGAGTTTGTCTTTCAATCGGTCCAAGATAGCATTAAGGCACAAGTAATTGGGATTTCTCACCTAATTATCGCAACTAAGACTACTACATCATCCAAACAAGGAACCGTAATCAAGATAGAAATTCGGTCTAATCATACAAGAAAAGGCTCACAACCAAACTTCATCTTTCAATGCAAGCATAGAAGTGAATACATGAGCAACAAGTGGCCATCCAATTACACATGCAATTAACCAACTCTTTAACAATCAATCATCAGCCCAAAATGAACATGCAAGCACAAATATAAATCAACCCATGGCTTGGTTGGGTCTTCACCCAACCCCTAGCTAATTAACTAATCACTAATCATGGTGAAGAACAACATAGCTACAAATCCTAATTCTAGCATTAATCTAAGAAGTTGGAGGGATTGATAATATGGAAGTAGATTGAACATGCAACAATAAATAAACAAGATTAAGAGAGAAATAAATACTTCAAAGTAATTAAAAACAGAAAATATAAAGAGTAAGAGATAGAGATTACTAAATAAATCTTCAAAGTTGAGAGGAATTGTTGAAATTGAGAATACAAACTTCAATTAATCTACTCTAATGATTGAGTTTGAGAGAAACTAAACTAACTAATGAGAGATTAGGGAACTAACTAAGAGATAAGGGTCTGAGAAAACTAAGGGAGAAGAAGCTGTATAAAAATGAAGCCAAGGGTGGTATTTATACCCCCAAAAATTACATAGGAGAAACTGTCAAAATAGGCTCTAGAACAGTAGGAGCGCCCGCTCCTCAGGCTGGAGCGCCCTCTCTTGGTCTTCCTACGCGCCCGCGCCTGGCTGCATCAAAGAAGGCAGGAAGTTGAAGCGGCGATAGGAGCGCCCGCTCCTCTTCAGGTGCGCGCTCGCTCCGCTAAAAAATCAACAAGGCAGTTTGTTGAGATGCATGAAAGAGTGCCCGCTCTTCTCGAGGTCCACGCCCGCTCCTAAGCTTGCTGGGTTTCCTTGAATGTGCCTTTGAGCCCAAGCTAAATCTTCACCATGTATTTGTACCTATAGACATGAGCAAACACACCTAATCTCGCTGCTCATCTCTCCTTTTAACCTCATGTCTATGCATCTCTTAATGAACATGTATCCCATGTTCACGTTCCCTTCTATATTGCCTTCGAATCTTGAAGCTATGAAGAGGCATTTAATCTCCTCTTTTGTTATTTTTTCTAAGTCTTACTTAAAGAAACAAGCATAGCTCATGAGTCTCATGAAGATTCGATGGACGGGGTGGATAGTGTGGCTAGCATGGCTAGACCGGGTCGTGAAATTAGGATAACTCGTAATGGTATTCCTCCAAACTTGCTCCTCGTAGCTAGAGAAGTAAGTACCATTCGGGTTGTACACTTGGTCAATCTCAACAAATTGCTACTCTGACCAACTTAGTGTCTAAAATTGTTCCTGGTAATGAGTCTACAGCTAGAGTATGTGGTGTTTGTTCTGAATTTTCTCATGCTACTGATGAATGCCCTTCTTTACAGAAGGAAGATGTCAATGCTTTAAATAATTTTCCTGGTCAATCTCAGAGGAAATATGACCCTTTCTCTAATACTTATAATGAAGGTTGGCTTGATCATCCTAACCTTAGGTATGGACCTAGACCATCATTTTCTCAATCTAATCAAACTAGGCTATTTGTTCAACATAATTCACAACAACAATCTGGTTCATCATTAGAAGACTTAGTGAAACAATTGACTACCCAAATTGGACAAGTTCATAGTCAAGGTGTCCAATATCAGAAGAAAACTGACACTTACCTACATCACATAGACAATCAAATAGGTCAAATTAGCACTTCTCTTAGTAATTTGGAATCTCAACTTTCAAATAGGCTCCCTTTTCAAACACTTGCCAATCCAAATGAACATGCTAAAGCTATAACACTTAGGAGCAGTAAGGAGTTAAAGGTACCTAAAATAAAGAATAGAGAAATAGAGAAAAAGGTAGAAGTCAGACCTAAGGATGTATTTTGTGAAAGTAAGGAAAAACATGATAAAGAGAGTGAGAAAGAACCTATAGGGAAGGGTAATTCTGATGTGAAATTTGATGTACCCCCTTTCCCCTCTCGATTTGCTAAAGTTAAGAAAGAAGCCCTTGACAATGAAATACTTGAAACATTTAGAAAGGTTGAAGTAAATATCCCTCTTCTTGATGCTATTAAACATATACCTAGGTATGCTAAGTTTTTAAAAGAGCTATGTACTAACAAAAGGAACTTCAAGCCTTGTGAAAAGGTAAGAATGGGTGAGAACATATATGCTGTGATTCAAAAGAAACTTCCCTCAAAATGCAAAGACCCTGGCATGTTTTCTATCCCATGTAAAATTGGTAACTCGAAATTTGAAAGATGCATGTTAGACTTAGGTGCCTCAATTAATGTCATGCCTCAATCTGTTTATGATACTTTGAATATGGGTCCTTTGTCTAAAACTAATGTTATTATCCAATTAGCTGATAGATCTAATGCATTTCCTATGGGAGTTTTGGAAGATGTACTTGTTCAAGTGAATGAACAAGTTTTTCCTGCTGATTTTTATGTGCTTGATATGGGTGATAGATCTGATAGTGTTCCTTTATTGTTGGGTCGACCTTTTCTAAAGACTTCCAAAACTAAAATTGATGTTCATGAAGGTAATTTGACAATGGAAATTGATGGCGAAATGATTAAATTCAACATATTTGATGCTATGAAATACCCTAATGATATCAGTAATGTTAAATCTATAGATTCATATGATGCATGTGATTGGATGGCTCAGGATGTTTTTGATGAATGGTGTGAAAATTTATTTGAAAATGGTGTGTTTGGTGATTTTAAGAAAACGAAAATGGTTGATTCTTTTGTAGTTTCGTCTAATGTGATTGAAACTGATGCTTCTGATGGATGCAAAAAGTCTTTACCTTCTGTTGTGCCTAAATTGATTCCTTCTATTGCTAAGCCACCAGAATTAGAATTGAAACCCCTTCCCTCTAATTTGAAGTATGCTTATTTGGGTGATAATGAGACTCTACCTGTGATTATTTCAAGTTCTTTAAATGAATCTCAAGAGACCAGGTTATTGAATTTGCTTAAAAATCACAAGGAAGTCTTAGGATGGACTTTAGCCGACATAAAAGGCATTAGTCCCGCCATGTGCATGCATAAAATTTTTCTTGAAAAAGATGCTAAACCAACTAGAGAGGCTCAACGTAGATTAAATCCTTCAATGATGGAAGTAGTTAATAAGGAAATTCTAAAATGGTTAGATGCAGGAGTGATATATCCTATTTCCGATTCTCAATAGGTAAGTCCTATACATGTGGTACCGAAAAAGAGTGGAATAACAGTTATCGAAAATAATAAAGGAGAATTTGTCCCCACTAGAGTTTCTAATGGATGGAGAGTTTGTATTGACTATAGGAAGCTTAATCAAGCTACCAGAAAAGACCATTTCCCTCTTCCATTTATTGATTAGATGTTAGAAAAACTTGCTGGACAATCTTTCTTCTGTTTTTTGGATGGTTATTTAGGTTACACACAAGTACCCATTGCCCCTGAAGATCAAGAAAAAACCACTTTTACCTGTCCTTTTGGTACTTTCGCTTTTAGAAGAATGCCTTTTGGTTTATGCAACGCCCCTGGAACTTTTCAGAGATGTATGATGAGCATATTTTCTGATTTGATTGAACAAGATATGGAAGTGTTTATGGATGACTTTACTGTTTTTGGTGATTCATTTGATAGATGTCTTCGTGCTTTGACTCGAGTTCTGAAGAGATGTGTTGAAACTAACCTTGTTTTGAATTTTGAAAAGTATCATTTCATGGTAGAACAAGGTGTGGTTCTTGGTCATATTGTAAGTGCTAAAGGTTTAGAGGTAGATAAAGCTAAAATTGAAATAATAAGTTCTTTTCCTTATCCTAAATGTGTTCGTGAAGTTAGATCATTTTTAGGACATGCTGGTTTTTATAGGCGCTTTATAAAGAATTTTTCAAAAATTGCTTCACCTTTATGTGCTTTTCTTGTTAAAGATGCTATTTTTGACTTTAATGATGCATGTAAGAAAGCTTTTGATGATTTTAAAGCCAAGCTGACAAGTGCTCCCATAATTAGACCCCCTGATTGGTCATTACCTTTTGAAATAATGTGCGATGCTGGTGATAAAACCATAGGAGCTGTTTTAGGTCAAAAGAAGGGTAAAGAGTCTTATGTGATACATTATGATTCTAAATCACTTGATCCTACCCAATGCAATTACACTGTGATTGAAAAAGAGATGTATGCTGTGATATTTGCTTTGGAAAAGTTTAGATCTTATTTGCTTGGTACTCATGTGATTGTTTATTCGGATCATGCGGCTCTTAATTACTTTATAAAGAAGAGTCACTCAACACCTAAGTTTCTTAGGTGGATGCTTCAATTATAAGAGTTTGATCTAGAAATTAGGGATAAAAAAGGTGGTGAAAATCAAGTTGCTGACCATTTGAGTAGGATTGTCCCTAGAGAAGATTGGCCTATGATAAGTGATTTTTTCCCCGACGAACAATTGCTTTCTTTATATCATGTTGAAACTCCTTGGTATGCCGATATGGTTGATTACTTAGTAACTAGGACGTTTCCCCCTTTTCTAACTAAGGCTATAAAGGATAAAATCAAATTTGAATCTAAATATTATCTTTGGGATGATCCATATTTGTGGAAATTTTGTTCTGATCAAATGATAAGGAGATGTGTAGAGGACTCTGAATTTTCTTCGGTGTTGAATTTTTGTCATTCTCTGGAAGTTGGTGGCCACTTTGGACCTCAACGAACTGCTTTTAAAGTATTGCAATGCGGTTTATATTGGCCTACAGTATTTAAAGATGCTTACCTGTTTTGTGCATCGTGCGAGCAATGTCAGAAATCAGGTAATATTTCTAAAAGAAATGAAATGCCTCAACATGGAATCATAGTTTGTGAAATATTTGATGTATGGGGAATCGATTTTATGGGCCCTTTTCCTTCCTCTTTTGGTAATCTTTACATTGTGCTAGCTGTAGACTACGTTTCTAAATGGGTGGAAGCTAAAGCCACCGTAATTGATGATGCAAAAACTGTTGTAAAATTTGTCAAAAGTCATATTTTCAATAGGTTTGGTTTGCCAAAGGCCATAATAAGCGATAGGGGAACCCATTTTTGCAACTAAACATTTGGCACTCTGCTTGCAAAATATCATGTAACACATAGAGTGCCAATGCCTACCATCCCCAAACTAATGTGCTAGCTGAAGTTTCAAATAGGGAAATCAAGTCCATCCTAGAAAAAATGGTGAATCCTAATAGGAAAGATTGGAGCCTTAGGTTAGATGATGCATTATGGGCTTATAGGACATCTTACAAAACACCTATAGGAATGTCACCATATCGCCTTGTCTTTGGTAAAGGATGTCACTTACCAGTAGAGCTATAACATAAGTCTTATTGGGCTGTGAAAACAGTGTAACATGGATTATGAACTTGCAGGGTAGCAAAGAAAACTTAGTCTACAAGAGTTGGAGGAAATCAGAATAAAGGATTATGAAAATGCTCAGATATATTAGGACAAAACTAAGGCTTTTCATGACAAAATAAAGAATTGTTAAGACTAATTTCTCAGTGGGACAGAAAGTTCTTCTGTATAATACTCGTCTTAAGCTATTTCCTGGAAAGCTTCGGTCTAGATGGCTAGGACCTTTTGTTATTACTAACATTTTTCCACATGATGCTGTTGTCGAGTATGAAGAGAACTCAATATTGATAGGCAGCAGCACCACAAATATTCTAAACTTAACCAGCTAAGTCGTTTCTCCTTTTTCTTCATTTCTTTTTCATTGAGGACAATGAAAAGTTTAAGTGGGAGGGGGGGGACAACTGTTGTTTTCTTTATTTTGGATGTTGGGATGTCAGGCAGTCAATTTACTGGGGAGGTGTTGCCGAATTTTTTTTTAGATGTTGGAAATTTTGAACTAATAGCAGTAAAGTAAAAAAAAAAAGTTTGTTTTCTCCAATTTTCTTGATAACTCACACTCTGGGATTGTGTCATTTCTCCCTCAAATTGCAACTAATCCGTGTTTTGAAAATGATTTAGGCGTTTGAAACAATGCATATGACACATCAACCAAAAACTATTTTCCATGAACAAGTCACAAATATACCTTTACTTACAAATCAAATGGTTAACCTTTCTGAGATTAGTAGAGCATATTAAAGTGTGATGTAAAAATGGTTGTTGATATTCAGTGGTGATACAGTACTATAAAGTGAAAGTTTCAATATAAGGCTCTGCGTACCAATGACTGGGTATATGTGTTAATCAATTAAAAAAAAAAAGAAAAAAAAATTCAAACTCAGTTATGTACGTGTGATGTTTCTATTTCTTGCTTGAGGAGTTTGAGTAATTAGATCCTTAGGGGTATCTTAAAACCTAGTGCCTTGGGCCAACTGGACCGGGAGCCACTGGTCGAACACTCGTTACATGGACTATTCAACAGAGATTGAACATTAAGAGTCATGAAACTAAAAAAATAAAAAAAAATTAAAAAGAGAAAAAAAGAAGGGGGTAGTGTACTTAAAATTTCAGTGTGCACTCAAGAAATATTTATTATGAGGAATCACTAGTAGAAAAAATGAAATAGGCACCCCCCCTTTAGCACCAGTTCTTGAAAACCGGTGCCAAAAGAAATGAGCAGGAGTGAAAAATTGAGAGTGGGCACCGGTTTGAACTAAAACCGGTGCCAAATTCTATAATTGGCACCGGTTCAAACCGGTGCCAACTTAAAAAAAAAAAATTAAAAAATGGTATGGAAGAGAGTTGGCACCGGTTCACCGGTTCAAACCGGTGCCATTTATGAGATAAAACCGGGTTTCAATTCCTTAATATATACTTCATTCTTCATTTTTCAATTCAGTCTTTCATTCTATACTAGCAGCTTCTTCGTTTTTCATTCTCTGATCTCTACCTCTAAAATAATTGCATGCTCTCCTTCCTAATCTCTCCTCTCTCATCTCGATATCTTCTTCTCTCTCATCTCTATTCTTCTTCTTTAATTTATAGTTCTTCTCTCATCTCGTTCTGCTTCTTTGACCCCTCTCATCTTTGTTCTTCTTTCTCCAACCAAGCACAACAACCAAGCTGTCGCCGTCAACCACAATAAACATCGCCGCCGCCTTAAATCTGGGTAATTTAAGGGTTTTCCGGTTTCTGGGTTCTTGAATCTGGGTAATTTCTGGGTTTTGGGTTTCTGGGTTCTGGGTTTTTTCACGATTTTGCTCGGTTTTTTCTGTGTTCTTAGGGTTTCTGGGTTTTTTTTTTCTAGGTTTTTGGGTTTTGTGGGTTGAATTTTTGTGGGTGTATTTGTGCGAAATCGTTCGTTTTTAATGGGGTTTAATTGATTGATTTTTGTTCGATTTTTTGGGTTTAATTGTTCGATTGGCTTTCATTTTTTTTGGGTTTATTTGTTCTATTTATATTTTGTTTTTTTGGTTGAATTTATCTGGGTTGAATCTTAGTGCCTTGTTCGATTTTTATTCGATTTTTTAGGGTTATTTGTTCGATTTATTTTCGATTTTTTTGGGGTTTATTTGTTCTATTTATTTTTGGTTTTTTTTTGTTGAACTTATCTGGGTTAATCGTTTGTTTTTAAGGGGTTTTTTTTTATCGATTTTTGTTCGATTTTTTGGGTTTATTTGTTCTATTGATTTTCGATTTTTTTGGGGTATATTTGTTCGATTTTTGTTCGATTTTGTGGGTTTATTTGTTCGATTTTTGTTGAATTTATCTGATTTTATTGTTTTAATTGATGCAGGTTTGAAGTTCCTGATTTTTTAATTTTCGGTTTGAAGGTCGTGAATTTGCTGAGTATGAAGTTCGAAGTTTCTGGGTTTTGGATTGTAATTTATTTTTTTAGCAATTTCTCTGTTTTTTTTATTTTTTTATTTTTATTTTTTATTTATAAATTGTAAAAAACAATTTATTTGATGAATATAGCCTTGTTCAATTTCTTGTTTTGGATTGATGAATAAATTGGATTGATGAATAAATTGTATGCTGAAATAATTTTTTTTAACTGTTTGAAGGCATAATTGGCACCGGTTAACCGGTGCCAATTGTAGTTAAAAAAAAAATAGCGCGCATTTACATTTGGTACCGGTTAACCAGTGCCAAAGCGTGTAGTTAGCACCGGTTAACCGGTGCCAAATGCTTTAGTTGGCACCGGTTTTGAACCGGTACCAAATTTTTGGGGATTTGGCATCCCTCAAATCCCCAACGGTTCAAAACCGGTGCCTT